ATGGGGCGGCAGGGAGCTCCCTCAGGGCCAGGCCCTGGGCACAGGGCGAATGGGACCGCCTGGAGCTGCCCCCAGGACAGGACTTGAGGCTCTTCTGCATCCTCAGGGCAGAGCACTGTGGCCACTCTGCACACGGACCACAGAGGAAACCAGGGAGGTAGCCGGGGCATAGTCCTGGTGACAGGAGGTATGGCCTGCGCTGGCAGCGGCAGGAGGGCAGCACGTGTGTGGAGAAAAGCAAGCCGCCTGGCAGTGGATCGGGGTGTGGCAGGTGTCCCTGCACCTGCGGCTGGGCTCTGAGACCCCCCCCCCCCGCCAGCTCTGCTCTATGTCACAGGATGCCCCCTGTGACCACGCCACCTGTGGGGGCTCCTGCCTGTCTCTGGGAAGGTCTGGAGCCCTGCGAGTCCCGGGAAGTCCTCTGGCCCAGGCGGGCCTGCCAGACCCCTGTCAGCTGAGACCCAGAAGCACAGGCATTCCACACAGCAGGCACACGTGCAGCTCCACACACCACGGTGGCGACTGGAGATGGGACCAGAGCCACGGGGAACCTCTGGGGCAGAGGTCAGCAGAAGGGAAAAGGCAGCAGGACGAGCGAGCGGTGATGCACTGTGACTCTGGGGACACAGAGGACAGCTCCGTCCTCACCACGCCCTCCCTGCACGGCTGTGGGGTGGGCAGGGGTCACAATCCCCGTCTACACAGGGAGGTCCAGAGAGAGGCAGTGATTTGTACGAACACACGCTGTTGGTCTCTCCCTCTCTGGAGCACTTAGCTCACAATCAAAAGCCCAGGGAGGGACTGGGCACACTTTCTGCCCCTCAGGAGCTCCCCGTCTGGGGTGGCGGGGGAACAAGCAGATGTCACCGAAAGCAAGACCCAGGAGGGAGGAGGGTGGGGGAGGAAAGCGGAGGAAGGGGATGTGGGGTGGAGCAGGCAGGGGAGACTTCCTGCAAGAGGCAGCATTTTCAGAAGTGCTTGGAAGAGAGAAAGTCCATGGGGGGGGGGGGGTCGGAGGAGGCAGGGAATGACCTAGAACAACAGCGCGTGAGCCTCACAAAGGGATGGGGCCAGCACTTTCCAAGGCTGGGATATAGAGCGAGCTCTGCGCTCTGGTGTGGGGCAGACGGGTCCAGACCCACAGGGGCTGGGCGCTGCTCACCAGCCCGGGGCCTCCCTGGGAGCCAGCTGGGGAGCTGAACGAGCCCAGCCCCGGCAACCGCTGCCTCTGCGCGCCTGGCCAAGCCCCTCGGCCGCTGTGGCCTCAGCTTCCTTCCCCGGGAAATGGGGAGAAGCAGAAGATGCGCTCCCCCAGGTTGCTGACCAGGCGTCTGTAAGATGCTTCAGGCTGCGCCGGCACACGGTGAGGCACTGGGCTTCCCTTTCCTTCAGGCGCCGCTCACGTGTCACTCACAGGCGCTGCACGGGCCGGCCCCTCTGCAGCGCTCGGACAGGAATGTGCAGAAAGTGGGGGCCCAGCTGCGCCCGCTGCACTCTTGTCATTTTCAGACTGCAAGAGAGCCAGGAGTGAAGCCGGGGTTAGTGACTCAGGGACGCAGGAACGCTGAGAGCTGCCCTTGGCTTTCTGAATCGTTCCCCACAATTTCAGACATTTCCTGGAAAACACGTGCGAACATAAATCTGATGCGAGGAGTCCGTGGGGAGAGTGGGGCAGCGAGGGAGAGAGATGCCCGCCACCTGCTCAGACACTCGCAGCTGAGCGACCTTGGGAGAGACGCCAGGCTTCTCCGATCCTCGGGCGCACCAGCAAAATGCGGGTTACGGGGAGAATGCAATGGAGGGCCGGGAGTGAGGTGACTGCCACGGTCCCCACTCCGAGGGCCGGAGACCTCCGGCTGGCAGCGCAGCCCCACCCCGTGATGGAGCTGGGGAGCAGAAGAACGGGGACTTAAGGGAGATGTTGGTGGTCCGGGGCCGAGGGCAGAGGCAGGGTCACTTGCAGGGGCGCGCCGGGGGCGACACGGGCACCCGGGAGCGACGTCCCTGCTCGCCCCGGCGCCTCCCTCGTTTCAGAGCTGCGGAGGGGCGCGGTCCTCGGTGCGGCCTCTGCCCACCACGCTGAGGCCGGGCGTCGGCCCCTGCGCTCTGCCCGCGCCGACCGAACCCCGCCGCACGGCCGGCCGCGGCCTGAGCGCCAGCGCGAAAACCGCCGCGAGCCCGGAGCGACGGGGAGCGCGGGGCAGCACCCTCGGGGCCCGCCATGGCGGCGAGGCCTCGCGGAGCGCACTGGCAGGGGCGCGAAGAGGCAGGGGAGCAGCGGCGGGCGTTCCCGGGCAGGGCAGGGGCTCCGCACGCCCCGGCCGCAAGGACAGGGCAGCCGACTCCAAGAGCCGGGACGGCTCGGTCTCGCGGCTGGACAAAGCCCCCGAGCGCGGTGCGCAGGCGCACGCGCATGCTCCGCCGGCATCGCTCTCTAGTGCATCCAAGCTGAGGTTTTACAGCAGCCGGCTCGTTGGTCTAGGGGTATGATTCTCGGTTTGGGTCCGAGAGGTCCCGGGTTCAAATCCCGGACGAGCCCCTCTTTTCCTGACTTTTTCCTTCCTCGCACACGCAACTTGCTCGTCTACGATCCTCAGAAACGTGGGCTGCGACGATACGATTTCAACGAGCTGAATCGCCGATTGCAATTGAGCCGTATTGCATCTCGCAATTCGTTCAGACCAGAAACGCACTAAAGGGATCCAGAGACGGAGACCCCGAAAAGGGAGAAAAATAAAAGAAAAAAAAAGTAAAATAAAAACAGGGCTCGTCCGGGATTTGAACCCGGGACCTCTCGCACCCTAAGCGAGAATCATACCCCTAGACCAACGAGCCACCGCTCGACAGTGTTGGAAGTTTACTTTCTAAGTAGAGTGAATAGTGGCCCGGCGCCTATGCAGTTCCGTCGTGGGCCTTCCTAGTTGCCTCTCCGGCCGCCCTCGGTGAACGCACCCCGAGCCGCCCTGTGGAGTCCGGGGCGCCGAGACTCACCCCGGCCCGGCCGCCGGGCTTCGGGGGAGCGCTCGTGTGCAGACGCGGGGATCCCCGGCTCACTCGGCACCGGGGGCGAGGGCAGCAGGTCGGGACTGAGGCAGCTGGGGGCGCCAGGGGTCCGGCGGAGGGGGCGAAGGCGCTCGTGTCCCTGACCCCGGGTTCCTGGACGGGTGGCTGTAGGCGAGGGCAGCCGGACGCCACCGAGCTGTGGCCCGAAACGCCGGGCGGACAGGGCTGGCTGAGGCGTGCAGCCGCAGTTCCGCTGCCGAACCTGGGCGCAGCTCCGGCTCAGGCCCTGCAGGGGAGCGGCCCTGCCAGAGACACTCAGAGACAGGGAGACCGGGGTACTCCCGCCGGCCGGCTCCCCGGGTCCCTAGCAGGGCAGCCCCCGGGTGCAACGCGGCCGCCAGCTCCAGCCCGCGCTCCCGCAGCCCCCGGCCAGGCCGTTCCACACGCGCACACAGCCTGGTCTCACTATGGGCCCTGGGGCCGTGAGGCCGAGACTCGACTCCCACAGCCGGGTGCTACGCGGGGAGCCGCACGGACCCTCACACTTGCTTTGCCCCCGGCCCGAGGGTGCGGGCGGGAAGAAATGCCCCGAGCCGGCCAGCTGGCCGCGTCTGTAAAGCTTCTTTCACTCCACCACGCGCTTTCCCTGGCGCCGGCTCTGCCCAGCCCTGGGCTGGCCCCTGGGGACACTGATGAGTCAGGCTGCCTCCTGAACCCCCTGCCCGGCAGCGGCCACACGGGCTGCGCCCTCTGCCTAGCCCAGGGCTGTGGGCTGCTCTGCAAGCTCCGTCTGGGCCCTGGCGGGGTGCGGTCGCTGCCCGGCGAGCCTGTGGCCTGGCCGCACACCCAGGGCCTCACATCCTCTGCCCAGGCGGCCGTGGCCCCAGACTTGCCTTCCGCCCGGACAGTCCCCACGGGCCCTGGGCGGGATGGGAGGGCTCCCCCGCCCCGCTCCCACCAGCTGCTCTTGGCTCCACCTTGACGCCCACCTTGCTGGATCTGCTTCCTTGCATCAGGGGTGCCCCAGCCTTGCCGGTTCTGCTCGGACCTGGTGTCCGGGTCTCCACTGCCACGGGTGTGAGGGGACTCTCCGGGGAAGGTAGCGGCCATGTCAGCACCTGGGCAGGCGCGCTTGAGCTGCAGAGGAGTGTGTGCTGTCTCTAAAGGCTGGAGGCTCGTTCACCCTTCCAACTGGCATAAGATGCCCACCTGCCAAGTTTTGGCGCAGCTCTGGCCCCTCTGCTGCATCCGAGACCCTCAGAGACCCCCTCACCCGGCAGAGGGCTGGTGGGACAGTGGTGTGGGGTCACTGGTTGGTGACTTCCCGACCTGAAGGGCTTGGCTCAGAGGCCTCAGCACAGACTGAGTAGGCTCTAGAATGTGGTGGAGAAGCCAGGGGTGGCCCGGCTGCGTGGCGTGTGTGTGTGTGTGCATGCGCCTCTGGCCAGAGCTTACTGGAGGAGAGGTGCACAGGCGAGTGTTGGGGGTTGGGTGCCTGCCGAGCCAGGAGGTGGGATATGAGGCCATCCTCCGGGCAGATATAGGCAGCTCCTGGGCTCTCCAGCACATGGTGTGATACAGACATTTAGGCCCCGCTAGCTGCTCCTGCTCTCCTCCGGGGAGGACCCGAGAGTTCCCAGATGCTTCACAGGGCTGTGACTTGATACCTTGTGCCTGGCAGCGGCCATGGCCACGCGCGGGGTCTTGGAGGCTGTTGGCCCAGGGAGCAGAAGGAAGGGGCTGGGGAGAGGAAGGAGGGAAGGCGCTTCTTCCTGCACCGTCTCTTGTTCAGACCATTCGCTGGGCAAATGGGGCTCTGGGGGAGACCCGCACAGAGGGGAGTGCCAAGGGATTGCCAGGGTCCAGCCAGGGTGCCGGGAGCCAGAGAGGAGGGAGGGAGCTGGAGGGAGAACGGAGAGGAGGGGAGAGGGGCAGAGGGGAGGCAGGCCAGGGGAGAATGCAAATCCAGGCCGACAGTGGTTTCTTCTTTTTTTGAGAGCCACGAGCAGAGATCAAAGGTGATATTTTTACAGCAACTGAAATAGAAAACCACTGGACACACAGTGGGAGGTGAGCAGCCCGGACACAGGCCCCCTTATGCAACCTGTGGCCGCGGCCAGCACACTGCCCTCTGCCATGAGGCGTGGGGGACAGGGTGGCGCTGATCTTCCCAAATGAGGTTCAAGAGAGAAGTGACAGGGACGGACCACAGCCCTGGGTGCCCAGAGGGGAGAGGGGCAGCAGCGAGGGAATGCCATGAGGACCCGGGCCAGCACCAGCCACAGCCACCATGGTGCGGGGCGTCCGGGCCTTCTATGCAAGTGGCCTGTGCAGGCTGCAGAGCCCTGGAGTGAGGGCGAGCACCCCCGCCGCTGTTTTAGGGTGCCGGGCTCAGGTCCACAGGGCTTTGGGAGCGATGCAAGCCTGGAGCCCAGGGGCTGCTGGTCAGAGAGCCTTCCTGGCTCCCAGCAGCTCTCACTCATTGGCTCCCAGCATGATCTAATCGTTTCTGGCCCTGCTGCCAGCTCCTTGTCCCAGCCGGCCCCGGGCCGGCGGACACAGCTACACGCAGCTCCACCCCCGCAGTGGTCTCAGGTGTGGTCCCAGGCCAGCAGCAGCAGCAGCAGCGTTACCTGGAAACTTACTGCAAATACACCTTCTCAGGCCCCACCTGAGACGCATGGAGCCCAAAGCCAGGCGGTGGGGCCCAGCCCAGCCCTGGCGACTTCAGCAGACTCTCCGTGTTTCGGACACACCCCGAATTTGAGGATCCCTGTACTGCACGGCCTGCGTGTCCTCATCCGTACTTCAGAGAAAGTAGCGCTTGATCACAAGGTTGCGCCCAACGCGAGCCTCCCACGTGCTGGGTGTAACCCTGTGCCAGACATCGCTTTGAGCTCTTTGCAAGGAGGAACTCAGGTAATGTCACAGCAACCGCACGAGAGCGGAACTCCTATTGGCGCCTTTCCACAGATGGGAAAACGGGCCCAGGCACAGAGAAGGGGAGAGACCCAGCCAGGGTCACACAGCCAGCGAGAGGCAGCACTCAGGGATCCAAGCTCTTTCTGGCTGAATGGCGGAAAGCCCCACCCTGGGGATGAGCTGATGGCCGTGAGCTCTGCCTCACCTGAGAGGAGACCGCACGTTGTGTAGACGTGCGTGAGATCCACTGCCTTGTCATGCTCGGCGAGCCAGCCGGCTCCAAAGGTGGCCTGGGGGCCTGGAACCCTGGCCGCTGAGAGTCCGGCAGCCACTCTGGTCTTCTGGAGGTATCCCAGATTTTTCCTGGGAAGAGCCTCACCCCGATAGACATCAAACCTAGAATCCCGGTTTGACCATGCAGGGGCCGTGTGACCTTGGGCAAGTCGCCTCACCCCTCTGAGTGTCTTTTTCCTCTCCTGTGAAGTGACGGGGGACAGTCCTGCTCTGCAGGGTGCCTGTGAGGCTTGGTGGCCACGACATCTGCAGCCAGCCCAGAGCGTGGCAGGGACTGGCCACCCCTAACTGCTCACCCACTGCTCTGTCTTCCTGCTCCCTGCTGCTGCCTCGGTTGAGAGAAGAAATAACTTTCCCAAGGGAGCAAATGCATTTATCCTCCTGCCTCCCGGCTCTTGTCCTGATCTAGAAAGAGCCGCACCAGCCTAGGATCTGGAGATTAAACGGTGAACCTGCTGCGTCCAGGGCGGGAGCTAGCCTGGGTGGGAAGGCGTCCCCCCTGCTTCCCTGCAGCCATCCCCAAGGGCCGGGCCCCGCCTCTGCAATCAGGAGCGCATCCGCCAGGCAAGACCAGCACTGCCCAGGACGCCTGCAGCTCGTTAGCGGCTGCTCCCCACGGCCCACCTGCTTGGTGGGAATGACCCCAGACAGGGCTGCAGAGCACAGAGCAAACGCAGACCTGGCCACCAGGGGAGGTGGCCACCGTGGGGGGGGGGTGGCGGGGGCTCCGAGTGGCCTCTGGGGAGCGCTGCAGAGCAGAGGAGACTGAAGAAAGCCCTGGCCCGGCCCAGGCCCAGTGCAGCACCCTCTCGCCTCTCTGCAAACCTCTGGGGCTCAGTTTCCCAGTGTGTGTACCATCAGCACACACTGAGGGCCTTCCAGCCCTGACGTCCCGGGACCCCGGCGCCACCCAGAGGTCTAGCTCAGGGCTGGCAGAGAGATGGCCGAGGGCTGGAGGATAGCTCCAGGCTGGGGAGCTGGGAGTCCTCCCCGAGGCCTGGAGACCAGAGGGGAGCTAGGAGGGCGAGACCAGAAAGTAACTTGGCAACCAGGAACACCCCACCCCCACTCCACCTTCCAGACATGGCCACAGGGGGCCTCTCTGGACACCTCCCTCCCGGGGCGGGGGGGGGGCAGCATTCTCGCCTTAGCCAGGTTCCCAAGGCTCCTGCAGAGCTGGACAGCTGTGTATGTAGCCAGGGAGACAGCCTCTGGGTTCCTACGCCTCTCCCAAGGCGACTTTATTACTGGGATTTCTAAGAAAAGCCCAGACAGGGGTGGGGACCTGCCCAGGGTCACCCGGCCAGGCAGGCTGAGAGAGCCCTGGCTTCCAGACCACTGTCAATTAAACAGTTCAGCACGTTCAGATCTATTTAAAAATGACACACCTGTAGAAAACACTGCTAGGCAAGAGTGCACAGAAATACACCTCCCGAGACACCTCCCCCACTCTCCCTTGCCTAGGCCACCTTCCCCCCACGCCCAGCCATAATCAATATCTCGCCTCCTTTTGCCAACAGCTGTTCCCTGAGGAACAAGCCTTGACAGCAGATTCTGGAAGACTGCCGCAGACCGGATTCTGGGAGGCCCTGGCGTCTCTTCCGGAACAGCAGAGCTTCCGCCCGAATGGAACTGTTTAAGTGCAGGACAAGGTGGGAAATGCTTCCAGCCGCAATCCACGGACGACAGCTGCCCGCAGGGTCCTGGGACTGGCTGTGTGACCTCGGGCCAGTCCCTGCCCCTCTCTGAGCCTTGGTTCTGTCAGCTGGATAGTGGTGATGTACAGGTAATGGAGCCACTTCCACCCTGCCTGGGTCAGACTGGGCAAGAACCATGCCTTCCCTTCCTCGGTCAGCCCCAGGACTCAGTCAGAGGTCAGGGGTCAAGCCCGAGGCCGCCCCTCGCTAGCTGTGTGAACGACCATGGGCAGGGCGCTGCACACCCTGAACTCCTGCTCCCCAGAAAAGACACAGATCAGGGATTCACCCCAGGGCCAGAGTATACCCTCTGGCTGGCTCCCTCCCAGCTCCCAGGCCTGTAAGTGGAGCCACTGCCTACCCGAGCTGCTCACATAGCCCTGGGAGGCGGGGGGCGGGGTGCATGGCCCGCAGCCCAGCCTGGGGTGGGGGGGGACCTCGGGACCCATGACGTCACGGAGAGCAGTTTCCAGGCCGGCCCCCCGGGGCTGGGGCCACTCTGGAGCGCAGCACTGCCCTTTTCCCTTTCCTTCGCTTTCTGTTTTGGCTGTGGCCCGGACACGAAAGCTGTTGGACGCTGCAGGCCAAGGAAAGGCTGAGTTCAGAAATGGACTCTGGTTTCAGAGCCCAACCTGGAAGTCAGATTCCTGCCTCCTGGGCCTACCTGGAGCCCAGGCCAGGTGCCTCGGGGTCAGGGGAGATAGCGGACAGCCTCTCCTTCCCACAAGGGTTCGCTAGACCTCAGCTGGACATCCAGGAAGCAGACACCGTGCACCCACAAGAAGCAGATGCAGGGGGCCAGCATGGCAGTGCAGCAGCAGTTAAGCCGCCTGTCGCCAACATCTCAGCTGCTCTACTTCTGGCCCAGCTCCCTGCTAATGCCCCTGGGAAGGCAGCGGAAGATGGCCCAAGTGCTGGGGCCCCTGCACCCAAGTGGGAGACCCGGATGGAGTCCCAGGCCCCAGCCATTGTGGCCATTTGAGGAGTGAACCAACAGATGGAAGATTCTCTCTCTCTCTCCCTCCCCCCCTCCCCCCTCCCTCTCCCGCTCTCTGTAACTCTGCCTTTCAAATAAACAAATAATTCTTTTTTGAAAAGAAGAAACACAGTGCTAGCCCTGCCCTGCAGGGAGCCGGACGGGCAGAAGCCCCTGGGCGGGGGGGCAATGACAGCATCAGGAAGGCATCTTCGTGTGCTTTCTGTTGCTCTGACGAAATACCCGAGGCAGGGTGCCTGATGAAGAAAACAGGGTCATTGAACTCTGAAATCCAAGTACACGGCGCGGGCATCCGCCTGGCCTTGTGCTGGGCCATGTCATCTAGGCAGAGAAGCGGAGGACAAGCAGGCCTGGCAGAAGGAGCGTGGGTGCAGGACGCAGACGAGAGGCTGATCTCCGTGGGTGCCACCGGCCCCCAGACCCAAAGCAGCATCGAGAGAACCTCCCCAGTGTCTGGAGAAGGACATCACCCCTTCACAAGGGTGGGGTTAGGTGGCCACGTGACCTCTGCACCTGCCACCAGGCCTCGCCTCCCAGGACTGTCACAGTGGGGCTCCAGCTGCCAGCAAGTGAGCCACTGGGGGACACAGCGAATGCGAACCAGAGCGGGAGGGAGACGCAGGGTGGCAGAGGTGGGAAAGCCAGGGCATGCGGGGCGGGGCCTGTTTGCATTTCCAATACAGTGGGCAGGGAGGCTGCGGCAGTGAGAAGGGGCCTTTGAGAGGATGCATGAGGAGGTGAGGAGGTGAGGAGGTGAGGAGGAGGCCGTGCGCTCAGCTGGGGGACAAGAGGACGCCAGCTATGGTGGCACCAGGGTACACCCCGGAAGTGGGCCTCCTGCACCTTTAAAGCCCTTGGCTCCACTCTGGGCACAGGCAGGCTTCAGGTGGCCCAGGGCGTGGTTACAGGTGGTACAGATTCAGCTGACCAGAGAGTGGGCAGCCTGGCTGCTGACCAGAGCAGGCTGGGCGGCGGGGGCCTGGGCACCAGCTCTCCTGCCCCTGGCTGGTCCTGTGACATTAGGTAAAGCTCTGCCCCTCTGGGCCTCAGTTCCCCTCTCTGTAAAATAAAAGAACTGCAGATTGCCGGAGGGGAAAGGAGTAGGAGACATGAGCGGTGCTAGGTCTGGGCTTCCTTACAGTGTGGCTCACACGTTCTGGAATCGGATTGTGGTGCTAAATGTATATCTCTGTGAGCTTCATCAGCATCAACTTCTTTTCCAAGGCGGTTGGTTGCACGAGATGACCTCCGAAGTGAGGAACGCCAGCTTTGGAGTGTGCCTGCCACGCCCACCCACCCTCGTGTGGCATCTCACACCCAGTGCCCGCCGGCACTGCAGCCATGCATCCGCGAGTCCAACCTCAGCACCTAAGTCAGGCCCAGAGGCAGGCTAGCGGCCGTGGAGGAGAATGGCAGGCAGGCAGCCCCTCCCCCGGGGGCTCGGAGTCCATGGGGGAAACTGGAGGCGTACAGGGTGCGCGAGAGGCTCGCTCTTTAGGACCCAGTCCTTTCCCTGCCTTGCTGCGCACAGGAAGGGACCACAGAGTCCACAGGTGGGCACCCAGCTCCGCCCAGAGGCTGCTGGTTCACTCATCCGCACTGCAGGGCCTTGCTGATGGGGAGACAGCTGCGGGCCCACCCATCAGGCCCGGCCTGCCCCCGGGAGCGGCCAGGCTTTGAAACAACCAGACACACAGTGGAGCGTGATTCCATCATTGCTGCTGTGCATGGCAGTTTGAATGGCTTAACCAGGGCACAAAGGGCCTAAGTGCCTGTAGGGGAGAGCCAGAGTGGATGTGGGGTGCAGGCCAGGGAAGGCTGTGACCTACAGGTCCTGGGTGGGGCCGGGGAGGGGGTGGGCATGGGCACTGGCTGTGGCCCCTCTCTTAAAGTATCCCAGTTGGGACAATAGGCCACACAGCCACGCCACTCAGAGGCCACGCGCAGGTGAAAGTCGGGTCCCGGCTCCTTCGGGCCCAGCCTCCGGCCTGCTGATCGGCACGTGTAGCCCGGGCAGCCACAGCAGCTCCTCGGGCAGACGCTGTCCCTGTATGGCAGCCACTACCCGTGCCCACCTCAGCCCTCTGCCCCGGTGCCAGCTGCCCCGCTGCAGTGTCTTGAGGTGCGAGCTTTTCCACTGTGCACAGGCCAAGCGCGGTTCTTGGCTCCAGGGCTGGTGAGCCGGTTTCAGGCCGTCCCCGCCCTCGGCTGCTCCCTGAGGACCCGCTCCGGGCCTCAGCCAGGCCAGGGCCTCAAGCTCTTTCCACTCTTGTTTTTCATTTTCGGCTCTCTTTTCCTCTCCTTGTGGCGCGCTCCCTCGCCTGGGCCCCTCTCTCTCTCTCTCTCGCCTTCCTCTCTCTCTCTCTCTGCTCCAGTGTAGCTGGCACTATGAGTGTGTGCTTTATAACAGAGTGGGATCCAGCCCTTGCTCTGTCACCTGCAAGCCGTGGAGCCCAGGCAGAGGGAGCCCCTGTGCCTCGGTTCCCCAGCCGAGGCAGCAGTGACTTTCCCGCCTCCCACTTCTCTGGGTGGGTGCCCGCAGAGATGCTCAGCACGTGCCTGCCTTCTGCCCAACCTTCCTGACCCTTTGCCATCCTGCTCACTTCCACACAAGAAACAGAAGCCCCTCCCCTGCACCAGCCGCCAGCTCCCGCAGGCCCGGCCTCCTGGCTAGCCCCGTGGCGGGAGGCGTGCCTGCGTGTCTTGGCTGCCCTCTCTGCCGTGGGGCTCCCCTGGGGGACGTGGGAGGCGCCTTCGAAATGGGGACTCAGGCGCCAGAGTTTTTGTTTTTCACCAAGTGGAGGACAGGAGAGGCAAGCTCTCAACACCACCCATGCCTCATACCCTGCACCTCCCAGCCTCCCAGCCAGTGCTAGTGGCCTTGACCCCAGCTGGAACCCACACTGCCCTGCCCGGTGCTTAGACCTGATGGAGGCAGAGACAGCAGGTGCAGGTGCTCACTGCCAGAACGTGTTCAGAGAGATGCCTGCCGTGTGCCATTTCTTAAAAGACCGAGTGAAACAGCTTGCCTGGGTCAGGGTGCACCTGCAGTGTGTAGGGTGGCAAGACTCTTCCCTCTGCCACACCACCTGTCCTATGGCTATGGCTATGTGGACCCTGCTCTAAATCAATTCCTGAACGTGCCTTACAGGTCACGGGGTAAATAAGCACATCTGTTTGTTATAATAAACTGAGATTAACAGGAGTGCCAAGACAATCCAATGGAGAAAAAGTTGTCTTCTTAACAGATGATGCCAGGACAGTTGGATATTCACGTGCAAAAGAATGAAGTGGGACCCTTACCTCACGCCATACACAAAGGGAACTCAGTGTGGAGCCCAGACCTGAAGGTAGCAGCTCCCATTACTTAAGTGTTAATCTCTGTGATTTTGTTTAGAAAATGGTTTCTTTGATACAATGCTGGAAGCACAAGACACCACATTAAAAAAAGAAAAAGAAATCAAATTTTTTCAGAATTTAAAACTTGGTGCTTCAAAGGACCCAGGCAGGAGAGTGAAAACACAGCCCACAGAATGGAAGAGAGTATTTGCAGATCAAGTATCCTGTAGGAGTCTGGAATCATACTATACTAACCACAATGCAAAAAGAACTCTGAACTCAGTGAGACAAGAGCAAACACCTCAGTTCTTTTAATGGGCAAAGGTTGGACCAGACATTTCCCCGGAGAAGATCTACCAATGGCTGAAGGATGCCCAGCATCAGCACTCATGGGGAGAGGCAGTCAGAGCCACAGTGAGTGCCCCTGCACGCCTCCCAGAAAGGCTAGCATACACAAGGCGGAACATCACAAGTCTTGTCAAGAACGTGGAGGACCTGAGGCCTTCCTGCACTGCAGGTAGAAACGGCCAGTGGCACAGTCACTGCGGAAAACGTCCCGGAATGAGCTACCACGTGATCTGGAAATGCCAGTCCTAGGTGCATGCATATACCAGAGAACAGAAGGCACATTTTTCATACAAATGCTTGCATGTGGATGCCCCCAGCAGTTATCTACAACAGCCAAAACATGGAAACTACCCATGTGTCCCTCAAACCCGGAATATATCAACAAAATGCAGTATGTCCATACAACAGAATATATCCAGCACTAAAGAGAAATGAAGTGTTGACCCCTGTGACGTCATGGATGGACTTGAAAATGAACCTGAAATGTCCAGAATAGGAAAATCCATAGTTTTTTTTTTTTTTTTAAGGTAATTAGCAGTTTCCAGGGGCTGGAGTGGTGGATGGAGCGGGAGAATGACTGCTAATGAGTGTGGGGCTTCTTTTGGGGTAGAAGGACAGAAATGCTCTAATTAGAAAGCAGTGGCGCAGGGCTGGCACTGTGGTGTAGCGGGTAAAGCTGCCCCCTGCAGTGCTGGCATCCCATGTGTGGCTGGTTCAAGTCCTGGCTGCTCCACTTCTGATCCAGCTCCCTGCTAAATGCACCTGGGAAAGCAGTAGAAGATGGCCCAAAGACTTGGGCCCCTGCACCCACATGGGAGACCCAGAGGAAGCTCCTGGCTCCTGGCTTCGGATTGACACATCTCTGGCCATTGCAGCCAACTGGGGAGTGAATCAACGGATGGAAGACTTTCTCTCTCTCTCTCTGCCTCTCCTTTCTGTGTAACTCTGAATTTCAAATAAATAAATAAATCTTAAAAAAAAAAAAGAAAGAAAGGAAAGCAGTGACAGTTGCACAACTTCATGCATAAGCAAAGTAAATGCTGAACCGTGTACTTCCAACAGGCAACAGGTGATCTGTGAATTATCCCTCCAGTGGCTGCACAGATCTGGAAGGGATTTTGCCTAACATTGAGTCCAGTGTCCCCCACTTGTCTCACACACACAGCTCCCTGCTGGAGACAGGGAAGTGACAGCCCAGAGGGACAGGGCCACACAGCAAGCTTGGGACCGCACAGGGACCAGGACCCAGAACTGCTGCCACCCCCTTGTCCTCTGCCTGGGTTGTCAGCTCCTGGAAACCAGGAACCTTTGTGTACTTTGCATGTCCTGTCCCAGTAGCCCCGGGCTCAGCTC